CTCTCACTGAGTAATTTCGCTTAGCATAATACCCTCTAATTCCAGCCAGGCGGTTGTGAATGGCAAGATTTCATTCTTTTTGATTGCCGAGTAATACTGCATTGTATGTATATACCACATCTTCTTTACCCATTCATCCATCGATGGACATTTCCCAAGCTTTTTGTAATTCCAAACTCGGGCTCCCTTCTGGGATGAGTTTATTGTTGGGAAGTAGCTTTGCTCTGGTTGAGGGAAAATGTTTAAGAACATGTAATTCTGTTGTCATTGAGCTTTTTGCTTTTTCTCTCTCTCTCTTTTCAAATGTTTTTCTTGTTTTTGTTTCTGGATTTCAGCCATAACACGAAAACAACATCTTGGTTAGACCCTCGGTGCCTGAACAAGCAGCAGAAGCCTCTGGAAGAGTGTGAAGATGATGGTAAGGGGCTAGCAAGGTCTTGGTTCAAGTGTGCTTGAGGCTGTTCACATGTGCAAATTTTAAGGAGTTACAGCAAGGTCAACCAGGATTTAACAAATGAGTTTTTAAAAAGTCATCTCATTTCTAGTAAATAAACTGTAGGGCAATCAGAATTGGAGGGCAATCAGAATTGTTTTAAAAGAACAGTTTGTTTACACATGAAGGCAGATGTATACTAGTATCTCCATTTTAAACAGAATTTTAACACAAACTATTTCAATGAAAATATAACCTCTGGCTTCAGGACCTTGGAGAACACTCTAGAAAATCTCTAGGAATATAAAAACCAAAGGTGCTCTGGTTACTCATCTATGGGGTCCTAATCCTGTATTAGGAAAGTCTTAGAGGAAAAAAAAATCAAGAAATTTTCTTGAATTCTACATATTTCATAACTTGGCATAGGAAAAGCAGATCGTGACTTCTTGGGAATCTCTGTGTAACTTAGAATATATCCTGATTATCTAAAAAGTAGATTCTTCCAAGAAAGAGCCCGAGGTGTTACCCTTAGCTCTACTCTGCCTGTTAATCTTGAAAAAGAATCAATTGGCTAAGAGAGTTACTATTTTAAAACGTTTATTTCACGGCTTTGGGATTTCTAATTATTTTTCCAAAATGAAAAAAATTAGAACAAATGTTTCCTTTTCAGTACTCTGAAGTCGGTCCCAAGTTGTACCAAAATTACTTTTTGACATGGACGAATTAAAAGGGAAATGGTTTGTTTAGCTGCTCATTATTCATTTCTGGCATTTGAATTAGTAGTATAATTATGGAATACATATTTTACTAAAAGATAGTGAAACTTTATTAATTTGTCCTATAGGGCAGAATTATATAAACTTGAGGTTTGCCTGCAAATGTAAGCCAGTGAACTAGAATACTGCCAATGACCTTGTACTTCTAGATCTTTCTGTTCTACATGGATTGCAGATACCATGAAATGAGCATGAAATTGTGTGTTCATATTTATGGGAGTGACTCCAAGTGGAGATACAAATCCTCCTGACTAAGGAGACCTGAGTGAGATGCTTCTCTGATTTTGGTTGCTGAAGAAGGACTGGAACACGTGTAGTCAGCCTCATTATTTTACATGCTTAAGGGATAATGAACTGTCCTGATTATCCAAGTATTATGTTTAATGTGTAATACGAAAGTGACCAATATTCAAACATCAGAACATAAAATACATTCAACCATAAAATTTCAGAGAACAAAATTTAATCTTTATTTGATGCTGGATGATTTTGAAGGCATTTTGGATTTCTTTTACCATAGGCTCTTCAGTGCGGTCTCCATTATAATTATACTGGGAACATATAAAAATGCCTGTTATTATAATTTTATAGATGATAGAAGACTCCAGTAGCTTTTACCAGGAGAAACTTAATGGAGTAAAACTGTTGAGTAGAATTACTGAATGATTTTGTTACCGAATCTATTGCAGTTCAGCCTTGAACAACACAGGATTGAACTGCAATGGTCCACTTTTATGCAGATTTTTTCAATATGTTAGAAAAATTTTTAGAGATCTCGGACAATTCGAACACCTTGCACATGATGTATAGCCTTGAAATACCAAAAACATTAAGAAAAGATTAAGTACTATTGTAAGAATACAGTATGAAATACTTATACAAAATAAGTGCTTATCGACTATATTATTGGTAAGGTTTTCAGTCAACAGTAGACTATTTGTAGTTAAGTTTTGGGGAATTCACAAGTGATATACAGACTTTTTCACTGTGGAGAGTCAGTACCCGCAACCCCTGTGCTATTGAATGGTCAACTGTTATTTTTAATTCTTAGAATTCTTGTCATTGGTGTTAATGTTATTACCTTTGGAACAAGTATGTATTCATACCAAATACCATTAAGTTATCCATTTATCCTTTCAACTTAGGATTCATATATGCTTTTTCCAGTAGAAATTATATGTATGTTTGTATACACAGTGTGAATATATAACCAGATGTTACCACTCTGACATTTATCAGTCCCCACACCTTCATTTGCTGTTGCCACTTAACACAAATCTGCCTTGTGTTGTTGTTTATGTCGTGACACCAAGAAGAATAGTGTTTTTGCTCACAGTATTATTCCTGTATTCAATTTCTGTTCTCTGGAGGCCATATGCACATGATCTGTAACAATATCACTTCATAGTTATTGTAAAATTTTTCATATACTCTCTTTTCTGACTCCAAAAAAGTAAGAAAGTGGCTTGGGATTTTGATCTTTAGTATATAACTCCATTTGTTGTTTCTGTATATCTAGTTCAATTAGAAGCCTTTCACCTTGCCTTTGAGCTCCAGGCCAATATTTAAAAATGCTTGGTTGATAATGCTTTTTGTCTGAAAGAGATTTCAAACGCAGTCTGAATAAAACCCAACTAAGGATCTCTACCCCCCAAAATCTGGTCCTCTGTAAGCGTTCCCTATCTCGGTTGAGGGTAAAATTCATGTATACCTGTGAGTCCCCCTTGACCTACTACTTGACCGTGATTTCAACCCATCTACCCTCTGAATTTACTTTGCCTCTCAGGTATCTCTGGAATCCATGCACGATTTTCTTTGTTGCCTGTGGCATCCTAGTGCAGGTCACATGCCTCTGTCACCCACACTCTTGCCTACTCTCCTTACACGAGACCCAGAGCACTCTTTTAAAACGTCAGTGTGATTGTGTTATCCGTGACCACCCTCTCGAGCCCTGTTCAGTGGCTCTCTATCCGCGCAATATTCAGCCCTCCCCACAGCTGGTTTCTAAGTTCTAAGTGCTTTGGCCTCTGGTTTTTCTCACCCTTGCTCCTCTCCACTCTGCCCTTCATGCCCACTAGCACTTTCTTAGAATACTCTTACATTTTACAGACAGATACTGAATGCCTCCTATATGTCCATTGTGTCCTAGGAACTTCAGATGTATCAATGGACACAACCATCAAAATGCCCTGCTGTCATAGAGCTTAAATTTCAGTCATTCTTCACTTTAAGTCTTTCTGTTCCATCGGGCATATCCTTCAGGTTACAGGTCAGGGACTCTTTCTGTGACCTTGCCCCCAGATATGATTGGGTCATTCTGTGATGTGTGTTACTTTAGACACATTATCACAGGTTTTAGATATGGAAGTTTTATTTATGGAAGGTTGGGATTTGTCTCCTCCTCCAAAAGAATGTTATGATTTGTCACTTTGCCCAATGACTGGCCCATGGTAGGTCTCTCATTAAATACTCACTGGAGAAATGAATTGGATGCTAGCATCAAAACTTACTGTTGACAGTGGAATCACTTTTAAATCAAGAGTTCACAAGGTATATAGTACCATGTTGGGAACTAAAGTCAGCAATTGAGTCATCCATGCATCCATCCGTCCATCCATTTAGAAGTATTTAGTACCTACCAGGTACCAAAACACTGTACTGGGCACTGAGCGTTTCACAGTGGTGAAAATAAGTCTTCCTCCCTGTGTTGGTGGAGCATACAGTGGAGGGGACAACCACCTGTTCTGTAGTGGAGAGACTTTCTGCGTAAAATGGTTTGTTGTGTGCTGTCCCCTGCTCTCTTCTCGGTTACAGTGCAGTGTCTTACTCATAGCAGGAGGGGGTCAAGAATGGAGAAGATCCTGACCGGTTTTGCTTCCTGACTTACTGTGACCATTGTCCCTGCAATATTTCTGGGCTGTTTGACTTCGACATGTCATACCAAGTAAACAGTGCTTTCCCATCCTCGTTTCAGGGCGGCCTTTAAGCCCGCTTTCGTCACGTGCAGCATCCCGACATAACTCATCTCTAACTCCCTGCATTCTCAAATTGACCCCACCTTCCACTTCTCAGGCAGCATTATTACCTCTAAGCTCAGTAGTGCTTTAACTGTGAATATAATTGCCTCAGTGATGAGAGCATTACTGCAGTATTAGAAGGACTAATATTGGAAGGGGTAACAGCTTTGTTTGCCCGAAATGAGGTGTGTAATAAGTGACTTCCCACTTAAGAACATTGAAACCGCAAAGGTATTTGTCATCTTTTACAACCAATCAAACCCTGTTTCGACATGCAAGGAAATGAGCCATATAATTATGTTACCAATATCAGCTCTTACCATTTTGTGATTTACACTGAAGTCTCCGGTTTACTAGCTGAGCCAGTGAAATAGGCCACAATGCAGGTAAGGACAAAACCAAGTGACACGTTTGCTGCTGTTTTTCTGAGGGAAGTTTTCTTTCTTGGTGTTGGTGTCTGAATTTTTCTTTCTCTCTTTTCTGTCTCATTCCTGTTATTCCTTTGGAGAAGAAGGGGTCCACACCGAGGAGCTGGACAGTGAACTAGGTAAACCCTCCCAGCTGCATGACCTACCCTGCATGGTTTTGTCTCCAGTGAATTGCTTAATCCTTCCGTTTCCTTAGTCTGCCCTTCTTCAATTATGATTTTCATTCCAGCTTACCCGTGAAAGGTCAATCTTACAACCCTCAAGTCTGACTCGCAGGCATCACGCAGAGTTGTAATAAGTTGTGTCTACAAAGAAAAAGTCTGAGTGAATTGAGACTGGAACGAGAGTCAGCACATTGGTCCTAGGAAGTCTTGCAACTTGAGGATTAGAAAAAGACTAAGGGATAGATGCTTGCCGTGTCCCTTGAACTCTCCTATAACCCTTACACCAGCCTCATTTCCTTCATTGTTTGCTGTGGGCGGTTATCTACAGGGGTCACACAAAAAAAGCAAAGCAAAACAAAAATAAAAACGCACCAACTAATGAAGGGACTTTGTAGGAGTAATAGCAATACAGTAATTCTCATCATTAACCAAATAGTTAATAATAGTCTTAGTCTCGTGTTAGTAAGTCGCCAGCCACTTGTTGGCTTTGTTACTGGAGTGAATGGCTGGAAAACCAGATGCTGAGCTTATATGTGACATATAAGCTTCGAGTGTATGAATCAGTGTAAACCAAGTCTTGACTTGTCTAGCTGTTGCAGTCTAGAAATAATTTACATTAGCAGATAATGCCAAACTTTTTTATCTTTGCTGTTGGAATATATTGAATTATATCCCATGCTGTTTTATGTTCAGCTTTGAACAATATTAAAGTTAGTTTGCCTTCTGTCTGATGCATCTACTGAAGGATAGGGTGGAAAGCGCACGTTTCAGCTAAAGTGCACATAAAAGCCTTGGTTTATTGAACATTGGTCATCGTATATTTTTTAAATAGATGATTAACATCAGTATGAACAGAACTCTCCTTAGATTGTTGCATCAGCCTGAGATTTTTGAGATTGCCTTAGGAACTGAAAATGTAAATACTTAATAACAGCAGATTATTGTTTTCATTTGATTTTGTTTGTGTTTGTTATATAATAATCAATTGTGGTTGACTGGAGTTGTAATCCATTGGAATTTAGCTCTGTTTTTCTTCCTGTTTGGAACGTTGCTGTTGTAACTGATGGACATGCCAGCATTGGTCAATAACTACTGAATGGAACTTACCTTTCAAGACGTTTAATAAGTTGTCCTTGTTGTGACTGTGGTAGGAAGGGCTGGAGGCTCATCCTGTGTGATAGAACAATTTAAAACTTACTTTATCAGAAAAAATTGATCGGTAATATTAAAGTAATTGAAGAAGACCGAACTAGGTTTTTTTTTGAGACACAGAATGAGTGCCTTAATCATTTGCTGAGCCACTTTAAATCACTCTTGCTGGTGATTGATATGTGTGAGTGACCCCTGCTGTTCATGGGTGCCAGGTGGAGATAACAGAACTGCGCACGGGGGCACGATCTTTTCTGCTTCCATGGAAGTTCGAATATTGACACTTTTAGGAAAGAAGTTTCTGTACTTTTTCCCTTGTAACTATAATATTGTGGGAACTTGCCTATGCTGTTGAAGATTGAAAACATAAGTGTTAATGCCTGCATAGTATCATCTCTCATGGTCATAGGCATTATTTGGGGAGATGGTTTGGTAACATGGTGGGACAGCCTGTGGGGGTAGATCAGACTGCCTGGCTTCTTATCCAAGCTCCCCTGTTTACTGGCTGTGTGGCCTTGGGCAAGCTACTCTACTCACCTTCTCTTAGCTTTGCTTTCCTTTTCTGTAAAGAGAGGCTGAAGGAGGAGCTCCCATGGTGTTTGTAGGAAACCTAATGATAAAGTCTTAATATCTGTCCCTGTGATCAGCACATATTGTTAGGTTTACTAGTGTCATTATTTATTAACTAATTCTCACCTGTTGGACTTTTTAATCCTCCTATGGCATTTTTTTTTACCTTTAGTACGGGTCAGGGGAGGAATGTATATACTGTAGAAATGACCCAAATATGTCTTTCTGGGTGGAGATAGGACTCTGGATTTTTGCCTGCACATATCCACTGTGTAAAGAGTAGTGTTAGTGGGTGTACACACACACACACACACACACACATACTTTTCTCTTGCATTCATTCCATATTCTGTTGACAAGCTCACTGCCCATTTTCTTAACAAGAGGGTCCTAATTTCAAATAGTAGCATCTGTCAGGTTTTCAGTGAACATTGGGATTCCACATGTGGCAAGGAAACCCTCTCTGTGATCTGCCTCTGAGAGGTAGGGGACGGTTGGCTTGGGTGTGGAACACAGATCATGTGATGATAGAGTTGTCATTTCTGATCTCTGTTGGGTGAGTTGGGTCAGTAGCTACATTATGCACTTCTGGTCTGCAGAATTTATCACAGCCTCTGCAGACAACTTCCCAGAATTGAAAAGTACTTGCAGAACCTCCTTTTGGAATTTTAGGGTATTTATGTGCTGAAACCAACTAGGAGAGGTAGAGACAAGGAAATGAGGTTCCTTCCCCACCCAGGCTAGGTCACAGTTTTGAAATCTATCTGTGACTGTGAGCACGACTTTTCAATCTGTGTGTTGACGAATCTCTTGAAAAGAACTTAGAATGTTTGACTGCTTCCTATTTGCTTCTGTGGTGACAATTAATACCGTATGAGATTTTTCAAGGCAGGGCTAGGAAACCAGCAGGCTGTATAAATCTGTTCTGTTCTTTTTCTGCTTTCCTAGAACATTGCCATTTGTTGAGCCTACGTGCCAGGTGCTGTGTGAAATGTTTTTTAGGCATCCTTGTTTAATCCATAGTTGACCTTGAAGTAAATCCCAGTGAAAGATGTGGTTCTAAGGCATTAAGTAACTAGCCCAGTGCCAGATCTATGAAGGGGTAGAGATAAGGTTCAGCCCCCCACCTGGGCAAGCCCAAAGGGTCTTAGCTGCTTAAAGTACATGTGACAGGTTGTATATTCTGGTTTGATGTCTAACAGTTTTGAGACATAGGGGCTGACTCTTCGGGCAACATCAGAGTGTTTAGTAAAAAAAAAAATGGAATGTCATTATTTTGGGGGCTTTGGCATTTTCTGCCATTCTTAGTTTTTTAGAACCAAAAGACAAATTTGAGGACAAACATCTTCCTTTTTTAAATCGATGACCCATTTCTATTTTAAGCATTAGGAAACTAATTCCTATTATTAAGTTAATTACCACATTGGAAGTGAGAAATCTATCTTTTCAACTGAAAATGAGCTTTTAGCTTAGAAAACTAGAAAATTTCTGGAATTTGCTAATCTGTTCCAGGAGATGTGTTTAAATTTACAAATGTCCAGGAATATCACTTGATCTGCCACATGTCTCACCTCTAGAGTATAAGTTGTTGACTAGGCAACAGGACAAAGGTCAGAGGTGGCTTCTTTTTTTCGTACCCTCTTTAGACCTCTATCAGAGCACGAACAGTATGGTGTTTGAATTATCTGCATAATTGTGCACTTATAATTACATATGTGTCCCTGGTGCCTACCACACCCTCGAGCAGAAGTGGACACTCTCCACATGTTTGACAAATTAATAACTGAATGAGTTAACATACAGCATACTATTAGTCCCAATGTACATTATAGTGATTCAGTAATTCTATACATTACTCAGTGCTCATCCTGATAAGTGTACCAACGAGTTGAATTCTTAGTATTTCCCATTTTATCTGAAGATAATCAGGCCGAATATTCAAGGGTGCAAATTCCGAAAAGGATTTGGTTCAGTGAAACATCAAATTTCACACTTACCCCCTCCTCTGCCCCCATTCCAGAGCAAACATGAGGCTGTGCCCCAATCTGCATTTTTTTTAATCTTTGATTTCTCAACTCTTTGGAAAGATTTTCCTGGTTCATTTTCATTTAAATGGTAATTTCCAGCTTTGTAAGGGGAAACCATTTCCCAGGCATTTGATTTGCATCAGTTCGTAAGACTGGGCGTACAAAAATGCCAAGTTGCATCAACATCTGCAAATTGGACCTGTCTTGCATTTTAGTAGCTTGTGTCTCCTGGAATTCAAAGACTTCTTTAAAACCTGCTAAGCGTTTAAAAAAATTTTTTGAGAAGAAAAAGGGGGAAAACCTGTCTCTTTGTTTGCAAATAGATAACATGTGGAGCAAAACCCATGAAATTAATGTCTCTTGATATGCAGCCAGATCTTAGCAAAACATAAACTTTGAGTAATTAGCGTGTGTGTTCGGGTGCACGCGCGTGACTCTGTTTCAGCGCAGGACTGTTGATGGCACATGTCAGCCCTTTGCCCGGATGAAAGAATCCTTCTTTGAGTAGAGTGGTGACCACGTGATTCCTCGAATTAAAAAGAGAAAAAGAATTTAGTGTTTCCAAATAGGTGACATTCCAAGCGTTTGTAATATTCCATTCAAGTTGGTCTTCATAGCTGACTTCCAGGAATAATGATTCACGTTGGAGTGTGGTGTTAACCCAAGCTTGCCTTAACTGTGTGTGTGTGAGAGTGGCTTTGAAATGAAGTTGAGTAATTGCTGCTCTGCTTGAAAGAATTGTTTAATGACACAAAACACAACCTGGTTACTTCTTTCACCAAGTCTAATTATCTGGTGCAATGGGGCTTTTTCACAGTAGATTTTTGTTGTGGCAGAACTCACTACTAGGAAGCTAATAAAGTTCCATCTTTTGATATGAAACCTTATGGAGAGAAGTCCAGTAGAGCACAGTTGAGTTTTCAGAAAGGCACGTAAATCTGCCAGGGCCATTTTACAGCACCACAATAAAGGAATAGAATCTTCTCCCTCAAGTAGTGTGTTCTCAGAGGGCAGGACCTGAGTTTCTGCTTTCTTAGGCGAAAGGTAGGCCTGTCTGAATGCAGCAGTTGAATGATAGATGCAGGCAATTAGAAAGCCCAACTCCACGTGGGCATTTTTACTTACTCAGTAGCATTTTAATTAGGAACACGGAGGAAATAAGATGCAAATTTTATTTTATTCCAGGGAGAACAAAAGCAGCTCTATTATATTGAAAATGAAAAGAAACGTTAATTTTCATCCATTTTTGTTTGTGTGGCAAGGTAGTCTGGAAATAAAATGAGAAAATTATAAATATTTAAGTTATAAACTAGGCATTCAAGGCAAATTTCAACCATATCTCCATTAAAATCTAATTTAATAGTTGAGTTAGAACAAAAGCATCTGGGACTACATTTTATTAACTTGTAGTAGCTTGTGCAAAATATCAGTAAAGAATTGTTCCTCGTGTAGAAAAATACACTGATAAGTACATATAATGCTCGCTTTTTGTTGTTGTTAGAATGCACAGTTTTAACTGGATTTAAGGCACTTTTAAGAGTCTCTCTCTTTTTCCCCTCACTTAGTTGTTATGAATCCTTGGGTTCTTCAAGAATATGGTCTTCTTGCTCTAAATCTTCTTTTATTTTTCAGAACTACCTGCTGGTTGGGAAAAGATTGAAGACCCTGTCTATGGTATCTACTATGTAGAGTAAGTGGCTGTTAACCCATATTTTGGTTTGTACTCCTCTATAATAATTATGTACGTTTATGCTGAACAGAGTTGGCCATCGTTATAAGGTACAAACTGTTAGCAACAACAACATAATTTGTAATGAAAATATATATGCATATTTTAATGAATGAGAAAATATTCAGTGAATCTGAAGACAGTAAATGCTAAAAGGACAGGATCAATGCCTTTTGTATACCAGTATTTTACCAGGACCCAACACAGGCCTGGCATATGCCGCCTTCTTGATAAGTATTAGTTGAATTAATGAATGAATGAATGAATGAATGAGAAAAGCTAAGACTCACTGGAGCAGGTGAGTAGGGGTTATCTTCTGGAGCAGAACATGTTTGCCTACTTTTTGCCCTGCTCAGGCCTGAACTTTTCAGTAATTACTTATTTATTCATGCAGACTTTCCAGAAGGGTTAGACATGTCTTAGTAATGTATGAAATGTCACCAGAATTGAGAAGATAATTGAGAACTGGCCCAAGCTGTAAGACCTTGTATGCTTCTTTGCCTCTCCTCTGCCTGAGGACCATAGACATAGTTCCTATTTTCCATCTTTAAGACTCTCAAACCCACCTCATGTCCCGTGTGGTATGTATCTTGCTCTGGCATTGGGCACATACTCCGTCTTGTTAGGATAATCCTGAAAGAAAAGAAACCCAAGAGATGAAACATTGTAGCAAATGTGCTCTATATCATTTCCTGAGAAAGTGGAGAAATCACTAATAAAAGAGGCTTCGAGAGAAACAAATGACAGAAATATTCCTTCGTCATAATCCCGCCCGGTGGCCTAAAGACAGCTGGCAAGCTTTCTGTCTCTCATGCTCCTGGCAATGAAAATTCATCTGTATAATGGCCTGGTGATAAGAGTATATGACACAAATTGTCAGACTGTAAAATGCTCCGCATCTTATCATAAAAAAGTATGAGTTCAATATAGCAAGTGTCATTGGCCAGTCCTCACATGGCCATCTCTATGTAACAAAGGATTTGGTGATTTGGGCCATTAGAAGGGCATTGTTGTTTCTCGGACCCTCACAAAATAAAGCTCCTCTGTGTGCCCTGCGGATCATCTAAAGGTGGTTAGTCTATCCACCCTGTTTGACCAGCCCGCCTTTAAGAAATATTTTGAGTTCTGAATACTGTAATTACATAATAGGTCCGTTCCCAAACTTCTAATCAAGTATGATTTTGGGTAAGACAAAACAAAACAAAAACAAAACACCAAGTGTATGCATGCTTGTGTGTATGTATGTTTGTGTAAAATATGTGTATATACACTAAGGCCATGGCAAAAAAAAAAAAAAAAAACAACCCATGCATGTACACGTATGTATGTATTTTTGTTCCATGGCCTTATTAGTTTTGGAACCGTCTGGCGTATCTAGGTCTTTGTCACTTTGAACGCATCACATTTGCTTAGGTTAGCTGCATTTGGAGTTTTTTTTTGCCTGAGGCTCATACTTTTAATCCTGACTCCATGTCCACCGATGAAAATAGTTGGCAGATGTTGGGAGAGCCCTTCTTTTAACTTTGAGTGCTGAGGCTTCTCTGAACTGTCATAGGAAGCCACAAGCAGTTCTGGCATTGCATGTCATAGACTGCGTCCTGTCTGTACTTTAATCTCATTTTTAATAATTCCACAATCCACTTTTCCTTGAATTGAAGCACTTCCCTGAGTCAGGTGCTTCCTTGGACATTTGGAAGAGTCAGTGGTTAAAATCCTGCGATTTGAAAGCAGACAGACCTGAGCTTCCTTGCCTCTTGACTGTTTACTAGCCACGTTCTGTTAGGTGAGTTAGTAATTGCTCAGAAATTTACTTTCCCTCTCCATAAAATGTGAATATCAATAGGACCTGCCTCTTATCATTTATTGAAGATTTTAAAATAAAATGCGGGAAAAGCTGGTAGCCTCTATAGGCAGTTGCTATATGGAAAGCATTCGTTTCTTTTTCCTCTTCCTCATTGCCCGTTTTGACATGTGCTGGGCAGCATCTCAGACCACCTGCTTTGCTCAGTGCTAAGCAAGGGACTTGGCAGACTGGCATTTTGCTTGTGGGATGAACTGTTTTCTAACCAAATATTGTCTGCCTCCTGCTCCAGCCACATCAACAGGAAGACACAATATGAGAACCCGGTTCTAGAAGCCAAACGGAAGAAGCAGCTGGAGCAGCAGCAGCCGCAGCCGCAGCCACAGCCGCAGCCAGAAGGTTGGCTTTCCCTTGATGTGTTGGGCAGAGGAGCTTGGGGCAAAGCCTGGGCGCTGACACCCCCGTGTGGTCAGAACTGGCCTTGATGTTCCTGTCCTTCTGCCATGCCGTGGACTTGGTGTCCTGCAGGGGTGGGGGGGGGAGATGACAGTGCTTCTCTTCCACCCGGAACCCAGACAGCTCGAGTGGGGGCCCTAGCCCACGGCCCCCCGATCTCCACTTTAATTTAGAAAGAAGCTGTCATCATACTGGAGAACTTGCTGTTGCCCCAGCATGTTTACATACCAGCTGGTGTCTAAATTCATACTGCTTTGAGCCCTTAGGAGGAGTTACTATATATGAAGCTAACTTCTAATTTTAGAAACATGACATGTAAGAATCAGAAAAAGCTGGTAATTTTTAATGCTTTTCCAAAACTATAAGTTAATTCATGATCTTTATAAAAATATGAACAGTTCAAAAATGGAGAATATTAAATTCTCCCCTGCTTGCTCCTATCTCATTCTCAATGATAGACACTGTGCTGAAATTTTAAGTTTATTTATTTGTTTTGAGAGAGCCTGAGACAGCACGAGTCGGGGAATGACAGCTAGAGAGGGAGAGAGAGAATCCCAAGCCGGCTCTGTGATGCCAGCACAGAGCCCAATGTGGGGCTTGTACCCACGAAGCCATGAGACCATGACCTGAGCTGAAACCAAGAGTCGGATGCTTAACTGACTGAGCCACCCAGGTGCCCCTGTACATAGAGGCATATTTTAATAACAATTGGATTGTAACTTATAGGTGTGTGTGTGTGTATAACTTATATGTATATATATATAAGTTATATATATGCATATATATGTATATGTATTAGTTTTGTGACCTGATGATCTCATTTAAATGTATTTCTTGCATATATTTCAAAGCTGGTTAATAAAGATTTGCCCTGTAATTTTTAAGGGCTGCATAATTTTCCATTTTATGAACTTACTTCATTCAGCTATTTATTAATACATCTGTTCATTAATAGCCATCTAGTTATTAGTAGGGTTTTTTAGTTTTTCATTGCACCCTTTTAAAATGATATACTCAGGGGCACCTGGGTGGCTCAGTTGGTTAAGTGTTCAACTCTTGGTTTCATCTCGGGTCATGACCTCACACTTTTGTGAGTTTGAGCCCCACGTCGGGCTCTGTGCTGGCAGTGAGGAGTATGCTTGGGATTCTCCCTTTCTCTCTGCTTCTCCCCCACTTGTGCCCTCTCTGGCTCTCTTACAATAAATAAACTTGAAAAAATAAAATGAAATGACTGCTCAATACCCTCTCAATGTAACATGCAAATATCAAATATATGAAGATCAAATATGACACTTTTATTATAATACTGATCATAGTAAGTGTAGGTCATAGGGGGAAAGTTGGCAGACTTTTTCTGTGAATGGCCAGCTAGAGGACATTTTAGCCTTTGCCATTCATCCGGTCTCTATCACAACTGTTCATCTCAGCCCTTGAAGTATGAAAAGACCCATACACAATGTGTAAATGAATAGATGTGACTGTGTTCCAATAAAGCATCATGTATGAAGGTGGATATTTGAACTTGATGTAATTTTCATGTGTTACAAAGTATTTCTCATTTTAATTTTTTCAACCATGTAAAGATGGAAAAACCATCCTTGGCTTGAAAGTTGTATCAAAATGGACAGTAGGGTCCCTTTGGCTTATAAGCCACAGGTGGCCAAACACTGCCATAGATTGTATTTTACTGTCTTTGTTTCTGGTTTTGTTTTTTTAAGTAAGCTCTACGTCCAACATGGGCCTAGAACTTGTGATTCCGAGATCAAGAGTCTCATGCTGTACAAGCTAGCCAGCCAGGCACCACTACACTGTATTTTAGAGTATTGTGTGTGTGTGTGTGTGTGTGTGTGTGTGTGTGTGTGTGTGTGTCTGTCTGTCTGTGTGTTCGTGTGTATGCACCTATCAAAAAGTTCTCCTTTCTACCTTCATCTCTTTTCTAGTTAAAAAAAAATGTTTTTAAATATTTTTCTCAACTGGTGAAACTTTGTAGTGCGAGAAAGTGCTGTTTGAAGGCTGGGGTATACGGTTGAATATATTAGCTGGAAGGTGACTGTGTAAATCTCAAGGCTCACTCACGGCACGTTGTTTCTGGGCCTCCAAGGTGAGGAGGACTACAGTCAGGACGCAGGCATGTTGGTGATGAGTCCCGTTCGGGTTTGGGAGATGGGAGGGGATAGCACTTTAGAATACTGCTGAAATCACTTTTATTGTCATCCAAGACGAGCAGACCTCAGCAGCTCAGCTCATGTCTCAAGTGTGTTAGAGATGGTTTTCCCTCATCGGGCTGGTGGCGTCAGTTGATTGTATATCTTTCCTGATATTTTTTACTTGGTCTCACTTTGGACCCTCCGGTCACAGAGAACTGAAGTTTTTATTTTTCATATCACAATATGATATGAGCTTTCTTCAAAACTCTGATGGGAGAGGGACACACACAGACACACAGAGGGAGAGAGAGAGAGAGAATCTTATCCTTAACAAAGAGTGGGGTCCGATACAGTTTGTTTTCCATCTAAGCTCTCTGTGTCTAGTTTCATTAGTTTGGATAGTTGGATGCTTAAGAAGGTGAATCTTCTTTTAAGAGAATGTTAATGTGACTCCCATTTGAAGGAAACACAGTGTACTCTTTCTTTTCCTCACAGAATGGACGGAACATCACCCATGTCTTGTGCCTCCCGTTACTCCAAACCACCCCCCGAGCAATCCGGAGCCAGCCAGAGAAGCTCCACTTCAGGGTAAAGTGTCTTTATGATGATGAAGCGTTTAGATCAAAAATTTAATTTTTTAAAGGAAGTTTAAAAAGTAGAATCTCACAATTGCCAATTCCTTCCTTTGATGGTGAAAACTGTGATGTTAGAAATTCTAAACATACTGTTAATCAAACTTGCCAAGAAAACTAGAACCTTGTGTGTGGGTAAATTTGCTCAGCTAATTGCATTTCTCTGAAAATAATGACCACTTGCCATTAGGGTTTCTCAGCCTCAGCACCTTTGACGCTTGGGGCCAGATAATTCTTTGTTGTGCGTGGGGCCTGTCCTGTGCATTGGACCAAGTTTAGGGGCGTCCATGGTCTCTACCCTCTTGTGACAACTACTAATGCCCCAGTTGTTGCCAGATGCCCCTGGGGAGAAATCCCAGGGTTGTAAATCACTGATTTCCAGACTACAGAAATTTATTATTGGTATTTAGTAAGATAACTTGAAGAGTCAGCTTGAGGATATTCCAAGATCCTCGTCAACATATTTGCTTTTGACTAAGATTTTCTTGTAAATGTGAAACCATTTGATATTATTATATACTAAATGTGAATCTCCTATTCTTGCTGTAGTTTGGCATTTATACATATTTTACAATGTTTCGTTGGGTCTCACTTATTTATGCTCACAGATAGTAGGAGCCCCTAGAGACGTTCATTGTTAAAAATTGGTATCTCCAGAATCTTACTCCTTTCAGGCCTGATTGCTCTTAAATGATAGAGAAGAATTGGGTTTTTTGTTTGTTTTTGTTTTGTAAATTTCTTTAAGAAAAATAGAACAGGCACTATATTTGATAGAGTTGGGGAATGTTTGTGGTACAGACCCATTAAAAAGACTAAGGTTTGTCTTCGTTCTCTGTACATTTTTAAAGAGGTATCGTTGCGTTAGATTTAAAAAGACAAGTAGAAAAACTCTTTTCTCTGATTTTCGTTCCTCCATTATAATTTTCATGAGCAAGAAGTTGCTTCCCTGGAAAGCTGATAGCATCATGAGATTGGTAATAATACCAGTTTATGTAAAATAATTTCTCCTGGCATGGGTGTACATTTTTATGGTCCTAATGGTTTTAGTAAAGATAGAACATAGCAGATGATAGCATTAATATCAATGCGATTGTGGCTTCCTCTGTATTTTTTAAATAGAAAATTCCTTCTGCAACCTCATGTGGCCTTATTTCCCTGCCTGCTGGTTAAGTGTCCTGTTCTAGCATCCTGCTAGGAGTCTCAGGAAGAATGTGTAGCTACCTTGGTTAGACTGGTATTGGTGTCGCTTTGCTAAGTTCACTGCCCAACGAAACTTTCCTCTGATCAAGGGTACACTTCTAATTCCAGCAGATGATAATGTTGAAGAGAGTTGCTCTTAGGAAAATTCTCCAATTCCAGTTGAGGCTTCGAGAGAGATTTCTGCAGCCATCCCTCCACTGCACCCACCCCACCACCACCGCTTTCGAAATTACAACTCACCTTTAGTGGGCTGTTTTTATTTACCGGATACCTCCCTACATATCTTCTGTCTGCTATGGTTTTTCCTTACGACTCTCATGAATAAGGAGGTTGGTACTGTCATTACCTCCATTTGCACCTGTAACACTTAGGCAGAGAGAGCATTGGTGACTTGGCCCACACCACACGGCCAGTAAGTACTAGAGCATCCGATTTGAATCCTAAGTGTCATTAGGAACAGTTAAATTTCTGGCTAAAACCTTTTTTGTTCATTTGTTTGTTTTGTATGTGCGGGGACACCACTATGTAGTCTAAATGTGGCCAACCAATACAGATGCCAATGGCTACGTGTTGACATTTAAATTGCTTACAATTAAAAAACAATAAAGAGGTGCCGGGTGGCTCAGTCATTTGGGCGCATGACTTCGGCTCAGGTGATGAACTCGTGATTCGTGGGTTTGAGCCCCGTGTCAGGCTCTGTGCTGACAGCTCAGAGCCTTTAGCCTGCTTCACATTCTGTGTCTCCCTTTCTCTCTGCCCGTCCCCCACTAATGCTCTGTCTCTCTCTGTCTCTCAGAAGTGAATAAACGTTAAAAAAATTTTTTTAAGTAAGTAAAATAAAAGTTTAGTCCCTCAGTTCCCCTAGCTGCATATCAAGGGCTCAAGAGCTATGTGTGATTAGTGACTGCCATATTGGACAGTGCAGATATAAAGCATTGTCTTGTCATAGAAATTGCTATTGGACATCACTGGCCTAGGGTGTTCAAACACATGCTAAAAAATTGTGCCAGCCTGTCAGAAAAGCAACCTCCTAAGGGCTATTGAAGAGCAGAATTTGGGGACAAGACTCCAAAGATCCTGATTAAATAGGTCTAGCATAAGCCCTAGACAGGAGTACCTTTATTTATTTATTTATTTTTAATTTATGTATTTATTTTGAGAGAGAGAGAGAGCGAGAGAGAACATAAGCAAGGAAAGGACAGAGAGAGGGAGAGACAGAATCCCAAGCAGGCTCTGTGCTGTCAGCGCAGAAAAGCCCAACATGGGGCTTGAACTCACAAACTGTGAGGTCACGACCTGCGCCAAGATCAAGAGTTGGGAGCTTAACCAACTGAGCCACTGAGGCAACTCTAAAATGAGTACCTTTAAAAAAAAAAAAAAAAAAAGGAGCTACCCAGGTGATTCTCATACGTAACAAGATCGTGCAGCTGTATAGTCAGCAGACTAGGATCTCTTGGAAAATTACATTTACCACAGGGCTGCAGCAGAGAGCTCCAGTCCCACTGCTTGTGGGTAGAAAGTGCTTCTTTTCCAAAGCTACGTTAGCTCATGACCCAACCATTCATAAAACATAATCAAATGTCCATGAATGTGAAGCCCTGTGATCTTCCCTAGTTAAGCGCTAAAAAAAGGAAGTCATCGGTGTAATTTCAAAGCTCTGTTCCTGTCTCCATTAAGTTGAAAACATTCTAAGTTCAAAATATGCTAATGGCTTTTTAAAAAATTCATTCAGTTAAACTGCCAGGCACATTTTCACATTTTCTAACTTTACCTATAATGAGGGTGAGAAGCTTAAACACCCAGCCACATCTTCCCACCTTCTCAAAGACACATTGAATCTCATTTCTTTGTGCTGTTGTTTAGTCATTCGTTTATTCAGCACAAACTTTTGGAGCACATGAAGTGAAGGGGTGGGCGAGAATCAGACAGATCACCAAACCTATACATACCTAAGATGCATACTTTGTTGGATGGTGATAGATACTAGGGACAGCAAAAACAAGCAGGAAAGGGGGATTGGCAATGGTGGAGGAGGTGTTACAGTTTTTCAGATGACCAGACAGAGCCTCACTGAGAAGGTGACGGCCACTGCTGTCTCTGCATAACCGAAATGTGTTTCCCTTCACACCATCCCAACTCCCTAGCTGTCTCTGCCTTAAGGATGTAGGCTATTCGCACACGCCCCTGGCCTCGGTTTTCTATCTGATCATTGCCATGGCAGCTGTCTCCCCACAGCCCCGAGTGCACTTGAAACCACCTTTCTGATGCCATGGCGGACGACTGTGCATGGCGAGTGCCTCAGCCTTGCCTTTCGTTAGCCGCCATGACGAGTCTGTAGTTTATGAAGCTTCCAACCAGCCTTGCAAAGGGGGAGCTTCGTGAGCAGGGCGATGACTCTAGTAATTTAAAAGAGTCCTTTTTAAGAGCCGGGAACTTTTGAAATATGCAATTAAAAATTGTGTGTGTGCCCAGAGACTTTTTGAAAAAGGCCTTTTAGCTATAGCTAACCAAAAATAACTTCCTTCCTGGGTGCCACACTTGGGTGGAGGGGTCTATGGAGACTTCTTCTCCTGGGTGTTTTGTTTTTGTTTTGATAACACTTTGGATAGAAGATGAGGAAGCTGTGGCAAGCAGGAGAGAAGGGGATATGAATTATAATTAGGAGAGGGTTTTTTTTTGTTTGTAAGATTTTGTTTTTAAATAATCTCTACACCCAACGTGGGGCTCGAACTTACAACCCCAACATCAAGAGTCGCACGCTCTACTGAGCTCCATTAGGAGCCCCTAATCAGGAGAGTTTAAAAAGTCTAAACCTGAAGTGATGTCCACTATTTGGGATAACTAGAGAAATTCTGGGAAGTTTCTCAATTGTGGAGAAATTCCTAACAATACTGACTTTTAAAATTTTTGGTTTGTGTACAAACTGTTATTGTGAATATTATCAAGAAAACAAAACCATAGGGAGCATGTTTGGTAGTTCTTTAGCTATGTAGCTGTTAATTTATTTTATTTCAGTTTTTTTTTAATTTATGTATTTATTTTGAGAGAGGTCATGGGGGAGAGGCAGAGAGAGAGGGAGAGAGAGAATCCCAAGCAGGCTCCACACTGTCAGTGCGGAGCCCAGCATGGGGCTTGATCCCGCTAAATGTGAGATTGTGACCTGAGCTGAAATAGGTGCCCCTATTAATTGATTTTAAACAGGACAACTGAATTTGGAGCTGTGTGGCTTTTGTTAGTAACTATTTCGTTTAGATGTTTTGTATTTTAAAAATTCTAAGCCACACGTCTTTTTTAACTTTTAAAACTTGTTTTAACTTTTTTAAACAATAAATCTTATTAGGGGGCATGTCCAGGCTATTTTACAAATTGTTAAAAGACAAAAACATACAGTAAAAATGACACATTTGAAACTCAATTCAAGGTGAACTTATGACTCTTCTAATTTTGAAAGTAGCAAATTACATTTTTATCATTATTCTTTGTGACCGTATGTTTCCTGGCATCCTCTATATATTTTCAGAATGTGTTTTCTGTTTGATTAGAAACTAAAGTTTTCACTGAATTGGTTTCACAAGTAGAAGCCAAGCCTGAGGCAACACGTTGGAAGTTGTATTGCAAATTAGAAACCGTAACAACACAGACAACACAAAACACAGACCCATTTTATCTTCTGTGAAGGACCTCATGGCAGCTCAATTGCTGTGAAACTACATGAACTGAAACCAAGAAGTGTTTCAGATGATGGTCATTCTTCTCTTGTATTTTCTTTGAGAACTTCATGCTGACATACTGTAGGTACCATATCCCCCTTCTTAAACAGAGGGGCCTGGGAACACCATCTTATTACTGCAGTCAAGAGAGGAATTTCCTAAGACCCCTCAGGCACAGGAGCTTGGAGAGCCGTCCATAAGTTGTGTCATTTCTTACTTAATTCACCTTTTCATGCATAGTGACGTTCCTTATACTTTTCGTATTTTCATCCAGGCAAACCCTTTTTTACACGAAACCCTTCTGAGTTGAAAGGCAAGTTTATTCACACGAAGCTGCGGAAAAGCAGTCGTGGCTTTGGCTTCACAGTTGTTGGAGGTGATGAACCTGACGAGTTTCTGCAGATCAAGAGCTTGGTCCTGGATGGTCCTGCGGCATTGGATGGCAAGATGGAAACAGGTAGAGGCACCACAGGGCCCTAGCATTCCCTGTGTGGTGTGACTGCCACCCGGCACCTGAACCGGGGCCAACGACATCATGATTTCGTGACTTTATAAATGTTTTTTATTTTTGTATTTTTTAAGTTTGTTTGTTTATTTTGAGAGAGAGAGAGAGAGAGAGAGCCCACGAGCTGGGGAGGGCCATGGAGAGGGAGAGGGAATCCCAAGCAAGCTCTGGCACTGTGAGCACAGAGCCCGATACGGGGCTTGATCCCATGGACCATGAGATCATGACCTGAACTGAAACCAAGAGATGCTTAACTGACTGAGCCACCCAAGTGGCCCCAGTAAATGTTTTTTTAAAACACTGTCAGTAAGCAAGATTCCTCCACTACATAAATGCATTCCCTGGTATAGATGCAAACCTTTGAAGCCATTTTAACTTTGGGGTACTGTTAGGGTGCTATTAAATACAGTAAGGTGGTAATTTACTAAAAATTTAGATCTGTATGAATAGAAGAAGTCTAAACTTGGATTTCTGCAATGAGAATTTTTTTTAGAAGAAATCCCACTGTTCTTTCAATGATCATTATATTCTCATTAGCAGGGCAGACAGGAGATGCTAAAAGAAAGCCTTGTTAGCAGTTACAATAAGTAATAGAAGCATTCCCTTTGTGCCCTATGATACCACCCCCAAACCTCCAATTTCCGTTCAGCTTCCTTTTGGTAGAGTTTCATAGTATAATGTTGATAAAACTTGTTTTGGCTACTTTCTGTTTAACCCCCAAACTCTTACCTTTTGCAGGAGATGTCATTGTCAGCGTGAATGACACCTGTGTTTTGGGACACACACATGCACAAGTTGTGAAAATCTTCCAGTCCATCCCCATTGGTGCCAGCGTGGACCTTGAACTCTGCCGAGGTTACCCGTTGCCTTTTGACCCAGATGACCCCAATACAAGTTTAGTGACTTCGGTAGCCATTTTGGATAAAGAACCAATTATTGTGAATGGGCAAGAGACCTATGATTCGCCGGCCAGTCACAGCAGTAAAACAGGCAAAGTCAATGGCATGAAGGATGCCAGGCCCAGCAGCCCTGCTGATGTGGCTTCAAACGGTTCCCATGGTTACCCCAATGACACTGTCTCTTTGGCTTCCTCCATAGCCACTCAGCCAGAGCTCATAACTGTTCATATAGTCAAGGGCCCAATGGGCTTTGGTTTTACTATCGCGGACAGTCCTGGTGGCGGTGGCCAAAGAGTGAAACAGATCGTGGACAGTCCAAGGTGCCGCGGCCTGAAAGAAGGGGATCTTATAGTGGAAGTTAATAAGAAGAACGTGCAGGCTCTGACCCATAATCAAGTTGTGGATATGCTGATTGAATGTCCAAAGGGAAGTGAAGTCACACTGTTGGTGCAACGAGGAGGTACGTAGGTTTCTTTTGTTCTATGATTTTTTTTTTCTCTTAACCCAGAATCCATTGTTTCACTTACTAGTCTCCAGGTGGCTTTGGGGGCTTTTTAAATGTCTAGTCTTTAAGATCATTTTTATTTACCCGTTTGGAAACGTATTCAAATTGCCTTCTGTTTTTTCCAAATGGTAGCCTCTATAGAATGAAGGTTGTGTTTATATATTATGTTATACCTGTGTAGCCAAAATGATACTTTTAAATGTAACTTGCATTGTGCTTTTAAAAAAACATTAATATTTTAGAATCTCTATCCTTCAAGTGTCCTGAACCTGGCCTGCACAGCCTGCATGCAAAACGTGGCTCTTGCTCACTGTGCTCACTGTTCCAACCTCATTTCACACTCCTCTCCCCTTGTCACTATAGTCTAGCCACCTGGCTTCTTTTCGGAAGAGGCTCTAGTACTACAAGCCTTTGCTGTCTCAGGGCCTTTGCACTTCCTGTTCCCACTGCTTGGAAAGCTCTTGCCCCAGCTATTCACTTGGCTAGCTCAGTCTCACTCAAGTCTCCTCCTAGACGAATGTTTCTCAGGTTACTTTTTTAAAGTAGCTTCTCAGTTCCTTGTAATCTTCACTGCAGCGTCCCATTTCTTCCTAGCCTTTATTACATCATTATTATTATGGCACAAGTCATTGTTTTGTGTATGTATTTAATTTTTCTTTGTTGCTCTCTTTTTCACTAGAATATAAGACCCATAAAGCAGGACCCATGTCTGCAACTTGACAGTTGTATGCTTTCATAAATGAAAAAAATATTGAATGAGTGAATGGGTATGTGATTACTTACACTTGACAGGAACAATAGATCCAGGATCATAATGAAAAACATACCTCAACATACCCACATCTTCATGAAGTGGTAGGATCTCAGAGAAGTGTGGTACTCTAAATCTTGAGACCTAGATTTCCTCTCCCCTGCCTGCACCCCTTAATCCTGCCCCACCAGAACTCTCAGGAACTCGCACTGAGAAGTATTTTTTACATGGCTGAAATGTATTGTCCCTGGGTATGCGTACGTGACTAGTGTTGATTGATCACTTCACACAGTGGGCCTGAGAATGGTTGTTCCTTCAATCTTTGCCAACATGATCTGTTTGATGTACAGCATATTTTGATTGTCTGAAAAGAGATCAGGAGCTAGACATTTATTTCCTTTTGGTTCCATTGAAGCAGAGGAACTCCTTTGTCTCACGGCGACTGTGTTCTCATCTCATGATGTTGTATGTTCTGTGGCCAGAATGACTGGGGTCACTGGAAAGAAATCCAAAATTCAGAGCTATTGTCTGTGTGAACTGAAATGCTCAGCTAACACGTCTTAAACAGCTATAATAGCCATTGTGCAGATTTAACTTTTAACCAGTTATCTTCAGCAACATCCTTTTGAAGTCTCTTCTTGTACCTTGATCACTTGACTGCACAGATCAGCTTTCTCAACAGTGACCGAGATGTAGGAGAAAGTGACTCGAGATTAAGAATGATCATGATGGTGGTGGTGTTGATATTGGTGGTGATGGTGGTGATGGTGGTGATGGTTGATGGTTGTTGTTGGTGGTGGTGGTGATGGTGTTGATGATGATACCTGACACTTGTGGATAAGCTGGCAATTTACAAAGCACTTTTAATATTGGCCCCTGTCTCTCATCTCACTTGTATCATGTCCCTGAAAGGTAGGCAGGTGCCATGCTCTACTATGACTGAGGGGTTCACCTCAAATCTGGGGTTTCCAGTTCAACACTCTGCCCTGCTTAACTCCGAATAACATGGCTTTTTCCATAATTGCTGATTTTTGTGGCCAGCAGCTTGAAAACTTAAATGGTTCTTGGTCCATCTGGGCCATTTTTGACTTAGCCACTGCTCATTTGATGGCCACAAACCACCCTGCTCTCCTGCCTAATTTATTTGCTCCTTCATGCCATTTTTCAGTGTGTTCAGTTTTTCTTTTTTTATTAGATTCACTTGAAGGAAACCAAAAAATAGTGCCTCATTACACCCTCTAACTTACTACATTCACCGGAACCATACTGTAATGAATATGCCCAAACTAGCAAACAACTGATGATAGAAACCTACCTCTGGATTTCACATATGCTTGCATTTTCTCTTCTTAATTTCTAAGACCTTCTTTTTGTTAATGCCATTACATCATATAAACTTAAATTAATGTGGAAAGATCCAGAATATATTGCCACATTAGTGAACATCTCCATAGTTTATTCCGGAATCTGAGTAATTTAAAATCAGTCTCACATCAGCAGTCTTTAAAATACACCATATGCCTTGTGTTTGATTTATATTTTGGATAGAAAGTTTGTACATCTGCATTTGGCAGGCTAGCACTAGCTACTATTAATCTTTCTAGAAAGCATATAAATATATTTGTTTCTGCCATACGTTAGTTATTTGAACAGGGGCCAACATTTTAGTCATCACTCCTGTATGGTGAGGGTGTCAACGAGAAGGTTTGGTGAAGCCACAAAGGCAGCTTCTAGGTTAAATGAGAAAGTTAATGGCCACTTCACTGATTCTTTCTAATGAGTCTCATTTCTGCCAAACTCCTAATAAAGCAGATTGATAAACTCATGATTCTTGTGAGTCTTAGGAATTGAAAGCTTGAGGATGAGGCTTTCTGTGCTTTAAACAACTGGCCTTTTCTACTTTGGGACAGAAGTAGCTACATCTGTATTTGTTTTCATTCTTAATCTCCTGAGCTCATTTTTGAGGTCTCTTCTTGTCAAGATCGGGTACCTTTTGATTTTGGTATTTTTTTGTCTTCCCTCCTCCACCCTAAGCTGGAAATCAAGCAGAGGTTGGAATATCATTTGTGAATTTCTGGGACTGGACAGTTTCCTGGATCTGGCGTGGAATTGCTGGGGGTGTTCATCCACATGCCCTGGCAGCTGGGACCCTTACCGATTTGTTTACAAGTATCTTCTCTGTAAATAGGTCCTTGTCTCCTGGTCCATCAGTCACACTCTTCATGGGCACAGCCTTCTTCCTAGGCCTGGCTCCCCATCTTCCTAAGGCACTTACCTTCCTCCTTCGCCCTCTGCTGTGCAGTCAGGAGAATGCTCTTTACTTATCTTACCTTTATGTAGTATTTGCATTCAGATAGCCTGTTGCCTGACACCAGTGTGAATCTAGAGACTTTTTTTAGGTGTGTGGAAAATTATGCTAGAAGGAGATTGCTGGTTTTTTTTTTTTTAAGAATATCGTGGGTTTGGGGGCACCCAAAACTGGTTGGCTCAGTTGGCTCAGTTGGTAGAGGGTCTGACTCGATCTCAGGGTCCTGAGTTCCAGCCCCATGTTGGGAGTGGAGCCTACTTTGAAAAAAAGTAGTGGGTTTTTTTTTTTAAGTTTATTTATTTATTTATTTAGAGAGAGAGTGTGTGTGTGTGTACACGTGCACAGGGGACGGGAGAGAAGGGGAGAGAGAGAGAGAGAGAGAGAGAGAGAGAGAGAGAGAGAGAATCCTAAGCAGGCTCCATGCTGTCAGCACAGAGGTCACCGGTGGGGCTCGAACTCATGAACCATGAGATCATGACCTGAACTGAAACCAAGAGTTGGAGGCTTAACCATCTGAGCCACCTAGGTGCCCTTAGTGGGTTTTTTAATTTACAAGAGATCATTTGTCTTGTAAAAGTTGGTTTTTGGTTTCTTTTCTTTTCTTTTTCTTTTCTTTCTTTCTTTTTTTTTTTTTTTTTTTTTTTTTTTTTTTTTTTTTTTTTTTTGCTTTTTTAAAAAAAGGGTATTGTATGTAACATGGCTACCTGTGCACCTTTGTGTATTTTGTGTATTTGGCTAATTCACACCGGTTAGCAAGTGGGACATTCTTTAAGATGTAATACTGGTTTGAGTCGGAATACTCTGTTTCATGAGATTTGGCAATACTTTATGAAAGTGGAGAATGTGTGTCTTGCTTTTGAGAGAAAGTGTGTCTCGAAAGGACAGCTGACCTGGGCGTCAGGAGCCCCTCTCTGCTTCCACCTGCCCTCTTACTTCTCTACGCCTCTGACCACGTTACCACTCCTGCCCTGAGACTCAGCGCTCAGTTCAACAAAATGGATGTTTTGAACCAGTCCTCTTCCGAGTGACCCTTTTTGGCCTACTACCTTAATGCACAAAATGATGTCCTTGATGTGTTAAAAGCCAAAATTCAACTGAGTAAATTTTAAAGATCGTAACTGGCTTTTCTCAGTGATTCCTGAGAGCACCCCATCGAGCAAAAGAAAGGAGCTCTGGGAAGCTCTACAGGATAGAAGGCTTTTACATGCAGAAAAGAGTAGGATGTGGTGTTAAACTAGCACAAAGCAGATCAGTTGGTTGGGTAGGATCACCTTCCCTTAGGGGAAGGCCAGCCTCTACCAGGCAGGTGACCTCACCAATGCTAACCAGGTAATTCCAAATGGTATGGTGTAAGATTTTATTCCTGGGAGAGGCTGAAACTGTAAGTAAATATTAAGTCTCAGTTTGGTGATCCAGGGCTCAGCCTAAGTGACTCAATTTGGGGCCTATTGTGTCATTTTTTTAACAATTCCCCACTTTTGATCAGACTCTCAGCCTGAGAGACATGACCAAAGTTTTAAGGAATTACCACCACTCTTAGCTGCTGCTCTAGAGTTCTCAGATTTTGTTAATCTTCTGTGATGGTACTCACAGGTCATGACATCTTTTTGCTAAATCTCTGTGTGGTATTCACAGCTCACAACTCCAGATTCACAATTTTTAAAAAATGTTTATTTATTTTTTTTGAGAGGCGGGTGCAGGGAAGGGGCAGCGAGATGGAGGGAGAGAATCCCAACCAGGCTCCACACTGTCCATGCAGAGCTTAACTCGGGGATCCATCTCCAGAAGTGTGAGATCATGACCTGAGCCAAAATCAAGAGTTGGACGCTTAACCAACTGAGCCACCAGGTGCCCCCAGGTTCACATTTTTTAAGTTGGTCATTCTCTTTGTTTGTC